AATTACATACTGCTATACTTGGATGCCTAATTTTGGGGAACAACACTTGTACCCAAAAAGGGAAATTATTTACAAGCGGTTACCTCATTACTTTCATATCCCCTGTTTTTAACTACTAGCGGGGGGATCCGATTGTACTTTTGTGCAACTTTCAACAACTCACCACTCGCCTCTTTGTTAATTTTTCCAACTCCTAACTCTTGCAATTTTTCAACACACATAACCATTTGTTTTCATCATGATCAATGATGTTGTTTCCATCATTCTCGACTAATTTCTCTATCTTCTTCTGTTTATCATTATCCATCTCTTCATCACTCTCACGATTTGTGAAGTGAATGCAATTTCAATTATACTTTGGAAGTAGAATGATGCTCTGTTCATTTTACGACAACATATTAAGTAATTTTCCCCTTTGATCTACAGTTATATGAACTCTTACTCCTTTAAGTATTAAGAGCTAATCAGTCCATTGACCTACAGATAAATTCATCAATCCAATTGTTTTAAATGTAGCAAAGTCCCCCAAGGCCTAGCTCGAGTGGCAAAATTTGGAGAATTTGTGGCTTAAGGTCGCAAGTTCAAGCCCCACACAATGCAAAGTGATGCCCGGTATTTAAGGGTAGAGGGGTGGGCCCATCATCCACCGAGTTTAGAAGACTGTGACTGGTCCAAATGGCGGGTCACAGACGGATTTCTCGGTTATCAAAAAAAAAAGTGTGGCAAAGCTCTAAGCCATCAAATCTAGCATTGAAGATAAAACTTATCGATTGTTAACTTATTTTAATATTTTTGGAAATTAAGAGATAATGCTTCGGTGAAATTGAAATAATTTAGTAGTGTTTTCACTGAAGCACTACCTCTTAATTTCCAAAAAAATTGAAATAAGTTAACAATCGATAAGTTTTATTTTCAATGCTAGATTTGATGGCTTAGAGCTTTGCTACATTTAAAACAATCGTGTTGATGAATTTATATGTGGGTCAGTGGACCGATTAACACTTAATATTTGGAGGAGTAAAAGTTCATATAACTGTAGATCAAAGGGAAATATATTATAGTATATGATTTATTTTCTTAATAAGTTACCATAAATGAACAAAACATCATGCTACTTCCAAAGTATAATTGAAACTGCATTCACTTCACAGAGAACAAATTATGGGAGTGATGAATTGGGGAATGACAAACGGGAGAGGAAGATAGAGAAATTAGTCAAGGATGATGGAAACAACAACATCATTGATCATGATGGAAAGCATATGGTTTTGTACGTTGAAAAATTGCAAGAGTTAAGAGTTAGAGAAGCTTAACAAAGAGGCGAGTGGTTAGTTGTTGAAAGTTGCACAAACGTACAATCGGATCCCCCTGTTAGTAGTTAATAACAGGGGGGTATGAAAGTAAGGGGGTAGCCGCTTGTAAATAGTTTCCCTTTTTGGAGTACAAGTGCTCTTTCCCCAAAATTAGGTATCCAAGTATAGGCCATTTAACTTTTTGCTATAATTCGTTGGATCTTAGTGATATTATAAGTTTAGCCCATTTTAGTTTTGTATCGTTTTAAGGATACAAAACATAATGGTAATGTTGAACAAGTTTGCACATGACTCTTGAATGCTGACGAAGAACATTTTGTTTTCTTGTTTCTTTTAATGTTGGTTTACCAGTCAATTTGCTCTCATCAATGCCATGATTATTGTGATGAAGATTGAAATAATGAAAGCACTATTCTAGAATAGTTGGTTCTCCTCTTTTTCTTCAACTTACATGGACTTTGGTTCTCCATTTCTCTGGCTCCGATCAATAATTATTTGTGGATATTGCACGTGTCATACGGTATTTCAATCAATAATGTTTGATTCTGCAGCTAATTTTTTTTAATGATTCCGGAAATTCTGTAATATACATCACTTTCACTCCAAGGAAATTTTTTTTATGAAGGGGTGAGGGGGGTAGCAATATCTCTATTCCATTGGTCTTACAGACTCAATTTTGTATGTGGACATGTTTATTTTGAGTTTTCCAACATGATGGGTTTAGGCTCTTGATAATGTTAGCAGATATTTTTAGGATAAGTTGATAACCTATTCAATAGAATGTCTATGATTTCTCAAATAAGATGCCCTTATATAAGACTTCTATGTTTATCTGATTGATACCAACTTTATACAAAATATTCAGCCTTTCTCAAATTCAAATAAGGATCTAAATGTCGAAGAAAATGAGAGGTAGACAACTAGGATTGTATAAGACTAGTATGTTAGCCTTTTCCCTTTATTAATTGGTGAAATGGAGAGGTGTAGGATAGTTTAAAACTGTACTTTCATTTGGAGAGGTGTAGGATAGTTTAAAACTGTACTTTCATTTTTTAGTTTAACAAGTTGAGTTAGCAGTGAAGAGATGGATGTATTAAACTCTTCTTCATTGTGTATTTCATTCTTTATTTCTTCTTTCTGCTGCTAAATCAGATTTTAGGAGCAAAAGTCATGATACTTGAGGCCTTATCCAGGAACAACTGACTGATTATCGTAATCTCTCTGGGACACCATATGAAACACTTGCAGCCCTAAACCTCTTTAGGGTGATATGCATCCATTCTTTTATCCCTTTTATGTAAGTTAACCTACTTTAATAATCAAGTTAATTTGCCAATTTCAAAAAAAAATAATCAAGTTAATTTGCTATTTCAGTTTTACCGTTGCGTGGTTTCTTTTGTTGAGTTGCATTTTACTCTATGATATTTTGATGTTAGTCATGTAAATTTGCTGTGTGAGTGTGTTAACATGGCTGGAAGTTTGATGCGACAACTCTTTTCCTTTTCATATTTGAATTTAATTTAGTTAGAGAAGAACAAAAATAGAAAGAGCTTTTCTATCGCATCCAATCCTGAATGTTCGTATGCATTTTAAGGAAAAAAGTCTTGTCGTCTAATTTTTCTCACTTTGCTAACAGTTGGCAGTATAACTTAGTTATAGTTTGATCAATGATTCATAAACAGATATGTTACCTCTGTTATCAGTTCTTTGCTAACAACTTAAGTTTTTATTTTTAACAGACCTAATTGCTCTCAAAGTGTATATCTGATTGACAAACGTCAATCTTTTATAATTGGTTAATATGTCATAGACATGATCGAGAAAGGGGTGTTCCGTGCACTAAAGCTGGGCTATGCGTGGGATCCGAGGAAGGGCTGGACCACAGGGTCTAATCCAAAAAATCATGTTGAACATGGAGCTGCTATAGTGATGCTCAAGGCCAACTGTGGTGAATTAAATTACTTTTAGGATGTAAACTTCAAATTATATTTAAACAATTTCCTACTAACATGATATATCAGGTATCTTTTGCAGGTATTGAAGTGTTCACTTGAGCAAGTCAAGATACCAGTTGTCAAGTTTCTTATAATTTTTCTACTGTTAGGTAAATAATTTATATCTTTTGCTGAGGATGTTAGATTTCTTGAAGGGTTGTGTAAATAATACAATGACCTACTAAAGGATTTTTTTTACCTACTAAAGGTTAATTTCCAGTAATAATTGATGTTGAAACATAATTTAGCGACAATTATGTTACTGCCGTTAAACAATTGTCGCAAAAATCTTTACTTGTTGCAGTGAGTAGATGTTATAAAAATTGTGCATTAGTTAGAGCTTGCAGCTTGGCTGAGGCTGATTGAACCAAAAGAAATAGAAAAAGATTACCAAACTATGGGTTTGCAATAGTTTTGATCGTGCCATTCTGAATTTCTCCCATATAAAGTGTCAATCTATCTCTATACGTTTTGTTCTATCATAAAACACTGGATTTGTAGCATTTACTGTCATGTTTACTTGAACTGGTAGACTGATATTTCCAATTTCCTTAAGTATCCCAGAATTCATGTTAGCTTAACTACGGTAGATGCTAAGCTTATGTATTCAGTTTCAGCTGAACTTCTAGACGCTATACTTTGCTTTTTTGATTCCCAAGAGATTAAAGAGTCAACTAGTTTAGGTTGTTCATTTTGAAGGCTTGATGTAGTGCTGTCTTGGTTTCTTTAATTAGTTGTAAGTTTCTACCAGTGATAAGCATGCCATCCACATATACTAGGATGACTATCAGATCATTTCCAACTTTCGTCGAGACTAAAAAGTGATCATCTTGGCTTTGTTTGAACCCAGATTGCTTCCAATAACTTTGTATTCCATCGTCTTGGGGGATGTTTTAGGCCATACAAGGATTTTTAAGAAGCTTACATACTGGTCTTGTGTCCCTTAGCTCTTAAAACCTTATAGAAGATCCATGTAGACCTCATCACGAAGATCTCCTTAAAGGAAAACATTGTATACATTTTGGGTTGATCACTTGATACCATTTTGATTACCTCTGGTAATCAATGCCCTCTTGTTGATTGTATCCCTTTGCTACTAATCTAGCCTTGAACCTTTCAATTCCACCTTGCGTCTCTGTATTTTATCCTAAAGTCCCATTTGCAGCCAATGCCAGTAGGCCTCTTTCCTTCGGGTAGAGGAACTATTTTCCGAGTGTTGTTACTTTCTAGAGCAGCTATTTTACCTTCATTGCATTGGATCTGAGACACCTTCACTATAAGATGATGATTCTACCTTTGTTGAACTAGCAGCAGCGAAAGCTCGATAAGCAGAAGAGAGAATGATCATAGCGAATGTAATTTGCAATGATGGAAGGTCTATTGTGACACCCCAACTTAAGATAAGAAATCTCACATCGGCAGAACACATGAGAGATGTTGGGTATATATAAGTAAGCAGACTCGTGCGGGCCTAGGTCCAAAGCGAACAATATCACTAGCGAGTTGGGTTGTTACATCCATGCTCATACAACATTTCATATTGCGACTTAATTCTTAAGCACAGATCATGTTAATTAAGTAAGTTGCAGCTAGAACATAGTTAACAAAAGCTTAAAACACTTTTGACCTTCCAAAAACTTGGCCAAACAGACTATAAGTTGTAAAGAGATCTCTAAAGGAAGGAAGGAATTAATAACAAACTTATATGATTGTATATATTTCTGTTATACCCCAAATTCAAATCACACTAGAGAAATATATCAGTTCAAACAAACATAGAAGAAAGGCACAAACCTAAGAAGTGATCATCATATGATCAGTTCCATGGCTCTACTTTATTATTACAGAATTAAGCTTGTATAATAACACACACTTAAATTACTGTGGAAATTAGTAATTTAGCAATTGCAAGGGTCACAAGTGCAGTTTGATCCACATTTGCATCCATTTCCTCCTTCTGCTTTCTCCTCAACCATTCCATAGCTACAACATTACATTACATTAGAAGTAAGTAATCTTTTAAATTTCATTTCCCAATTTAATAACTATATAGTATATGTTTAAAATAAAGGGAAAAAATAAACGTACTTGTTGATGGGTGCAACACCTTGAACGATGGTAAAGGTAGCAGACTTCTCCATGTCTGGGTACATTCCACATCTACAATAATATATATCGAAAAATGTTTAGTGGTTATTTTCATTGATTTTTTGGTTGAATAGGTGTGAAAAGAAAAAATAGTAATGCTTTCATACAGAAAAAGACATGAGAATCTGTTTTTCACAATGTATTTTTCTAGATTGTTTGATAAAAATTGAGTAGAAAACTTATGTTCTGTAGCCTCCAATTTACTACTAATTTGTGGTGGGAAAAACTTTGTTTCTAGTATGGCCTATTCTTTTCTGGTGCATATGGGTAGGAAAAAAATATTGAAAATACCCCTAAATTTTGCGCAAATTATTAGTTTCATCTTCGAATTATTGACAGTCTTAAAAATATCCCTTAACTTGACTAAACGAATTTAAACACACCCTTGATCTTGAAAATGAGTGAAATACATCCCTTAATTCTTGTAAGTTAAGGGGTGTTTTCAATACTTCTCTCGGTTTTTATTAAGAACTCCATGCTCTTACAAGAGTTTGAGACTACTTGCTATGTCAATGTGGCAAATTGGGAGTGTATCAAAGTTTAGTTAGTCAAGTAGAGGAGTGTTTTAAGGCTGTAATAATTCAAGACGAAACTAATAATTTGCGCCAAATTTAAGAGTATTTTCAATACTTCTCTCCCTAAACCTATAAATTCATATAAAAAGGATTAAGCAAGTGGTAAACATTTTTCATTAAGATTGTGGATACGAGTAACCAAACAGATTAATATATAATTGGTAAGTGGAAATCAAATGAAAGTTACCCTCCACAGCCACTGCCGCACTTGCAGCCAGATCCACAGCCACAGCTTCCTCCACAGCAAGACATGTTCACTTAATTTGTTTTTGGAAATGAGAGATTAAATTTGTTGTAAAAGAAAGTGTAATCACTAAAGCAAGTTCTTGTTGTAGTTGGGATGAAAAATGAAACATAGAGTGAGGGGTTTTTATAGGAGAAAAAAGAATAAAATTGGTGATATATGTGTGCCTAACACGTTACGTTGACAATTAAATGAAAATTTGTATTTAATAGTAATTTATTATGTTAGAAATATCTATAATTATTTGTTTAGAGGAGAAAGGCATGGAGCTTGCTGCCACAAAGAGTAGAATTGATCAGCCACCCCCACAATGTTTGACATTCGTGTGGTGGGTTCGAAAAATCTCGTATATTTGGGGCTAATTATATTTTATTTCTAAAGTTTCAATCACAAAAATTTTGAATTTTTCATCACTCTCGGATACACTCCTTAGTTGTTGATACATTACTTAATGAGATGGATGTGATGGATGTATTCAAGAAGAGATAATGTATCTAAAAGGGGATAAAGATTTATTTGAGAGGGGATTTTTTTGTAAAAAAAAAAAAAATGATAGGAAATTTTAGAGATTATGATATTTTAAGTTGTGTATTTATGTAATTTTTCCCGAATTATATACTCTACTACTTAAAAAATAAAGTACGTTAATTACTTTGAGAAAATATGAAATTCGCTATGATATTTGTCGACAGATTCTAACTTATCTGTTGTTAAAACACTGTAAACTAATTAAATTATCTTATAATTCATAGCTAATTCAAAATTAAATGAAATTAGCATGAGATTTTTCAATTCTAAACAATGACACTTGGGTTGGGCATCAATATAGGACTTAAAGACTTTTAAGTACATATTAAATAACATTATCCAATTAGTATCGAATTGTTGGTGACATGACTTTAATTTCTTACCTATATAATTTGATTCCACTTGCTTTTAATAAATGTAGGCCTTTTATTTTGTTCCATTAAATAATTTCTAAAAGCATCAACAAGACCATATTCATTTTCCTGTCTCAATCAATCTAACTAGAAAGGCATATATTTGGAGTTTTTAGATTCTTGAAAACTTAGCAACATAACAACCAAAGAAAATTGTTCTTTGTTAAATTCTCCATAACAATCAGAAATTTCATGTTGTTGAGTACATTCTCACGTTACCAAATTTTTATTGGTTTGATTTGTCTTTCACACTTTTTCCATTTGTATTTGATAGAGCTAGTTTTATTAGGAGTAACATTTAATAAATATTTGCAATCTTCAACAAATGATCGCAAGAGAATAATGTTATATGTCTTTATTTTAATAAGCTTGACGTTAAGTAAACCATCTGTTTGCTGCATGGATACTTTTACCATAAAAATTTTTAGTATGTCTCACGTATCTAACGGTAGTTGTGTCAGACTCCTTTTAATATAAATTTGAATCCATTTTTTTTTAGTTGTGCGAGACATATAGTAAAAAAAAACTCCTCGTTCTACTAAAGGATGTGTGATAGGTAGTAAAAATCTTTTTGCCCTTAAAGATTTTAGATTTGATTATAAAACTGAGTCCTCTTTTATAAAGAGCGTTGAAACCTTCATATTGAATTTTCAATATTGTGAATTTGAATAAATCAGATTAGTGCATTTTGGATGGTAAAAAACTAAGAGATGCTCACAAAAAAATCCTTTTCTTTTTCTATTTCTAACCGTCCAATATGGTGTTTCATCAATCATCAATCTCTTTTGCTTTTGGTGAATACATACCAGAGGCTCAGCCAGAATTTTTATTAAGCAGGTTAAAAAAATTTAAAAAAATATATACAAACTAGTCAAAGGAAGTTTAACATTTATTACATATACATAAAAAATAATTTTAATCATATATAAATAGTATATTTTTTTTATCGAAAGAGAATGGAATAAATTTCTGACCATAAGTTGACTTCGCCCCTACGTACCATACCTTTCAGATATCTTCTACTAAAAGAAATATATCACGGGACTCGAGGGGTGTAAAATGAACATGTTTCTTATACATTAAAGACTATTTTAATCAAGTAAAATACATTTTAAAAAATCAAAATAAAACACCACACATATATTAAAGACCATTTTGGTCATTTTCTCATTTATTATAAGTCTATAACAACATTTGATATTTAAATCTTATTCGTCTATTATAAATAAAATAACCCAAATAATCAATTTTACAATCTTTTTATGTGTGAAAAGAAAAAATGATGCAACTAAAATTCTGTAACTTCATTTTTAATTTTCTCACGTGTTCCAAGTTCACAAGAATTTTGTCGTTTTAGTTTCATTATTCGAACGTATAAAGTTTTATTAAAGTTATGTCTTCGATAAAATATAATTAATAATTATTATTTTCATTATAAATAACAAATCAAGTACATACATATTGTAAGGTTATCATGAAGAAATAAAATAACAATAAAAAAATTAATTAAAATATTTTTCATCGATTATAATAAAATACTATTATAAAAAGTAAACATTATAGAAAATTCTCACTAAATATATCTAAAAATCCTTGTTAATAATCACTCCAACAGTGTAAAAAGCAAGTAGCAAAAATAGCAATAATTAAAGATTTTTTTTGCCTTGAGATAAATCATTTCAATAAGAGGCAATATGCATTAAGTCCCGAGAGAACTCCAAAGTCAACCGTGCCTAGGAATTCTCTACGAGTAATAAAAATGTTGGAAAAGGCAAGCACAAAATAAATGTGCATGATAGGACAATAGTGGAAGAATATCCGAGTCAAAACTTTTCCTTCTATTCAAGAGAAGACAAAAAAATGCAAGAAAAACACTGTTGGAGCAGCAAACAAATCAACCAAAGCAAAGAAAATAAATGAACACACGAGACACCAAGTTTAAAGTGGAAAACTTCTTCGGTGTGAAGAGTAACAATCACAAGGCCAAAGCTACACTAAAATCAACAAGATTTACAAAAGTGTTCTCCAAAATGACAACCAATGCAATAAAGTGTCAAACAATGAGCAACACAACTGCAAGACAGCACCAAAAATTAGAGAAGTAAAAAAGGAGCAAAATCACCAAAATGCAGCTATTGTTCACGAGCTAAAATCGGGAACTACGTGACTCCAAATCACCTCTCTCAGTTCCCAATCAAAGATTAAGTTGAAAGAAATAAATTGTCCAAATATCAGCTCAATCGAATAAGAAACAAAGCGGGAATCGCGATTTGAAATTGGCTCCTAGGGCTTGTGCAAAAATATGCATTCTCTCACTTTTCTATCTATATAGCTGCTGATCTAATTCTTGTGATACTCCAAAGTAAGATCCAAAAATAAAGTCTTACATATGCACCATAAATATTGGGCTTATGAGAAAAGAGGGATAGTCAATTAGGCTAAATTTATTCACAAATGAAAGGAAGGAGACTCAAAACCTTAAACTTTTATCTATTCACGTAAAAAGAGAAAAAGACCCAAAACCCAAAAAAAATTATTTGGGGCTCAATCTTGCAACGCTGGAAATACGCGATCGTGAGAGGGGTGAGAATGATCGGACAGCCAAGGTTTTTTTTTTAACTAACTAGACATCCAAATTCTTTGACCACCGTGAAGAAATTATAAACTAGAGATCAAAGGCTACCACATCGACCAATTGACAATATAACAATTTTAAAAAGAAGGGCAAGTATATTTTTCATTTTTTAAATTGTTGTTGTAGTAGTACTATTTGATTTTCGAGTATTTATGTTAAACATTACCATGTGTTTAACAATTTATTGTATTTCTTAATTAATTGACATCAGTTCCACTAATCTGATTTTGTTTATTTTCTAAATCAATAATTTATTTTTGAGTTAGCAAACAATGCACCAATAACTATTTTAAAAGTTTTAAAAATGTCAGCAACGTAAATAAAAACAACATTAGTTTAAACTAGAATGGTTGGGAATCTCAGCTAAGAGAACCCCTCCAAAAATTGGCGTATGCCACTTTTTGCAACGCACACACAGTATTCTTTAGTAAAAGGCGAAAGAATAGTTCGCTATGTGTTCATTGCGTGGCTGCGTGAGTTACAAGTCAGCACAAGGAGCTATTTTTATCAGGGTTGCACATGCTGCTGCTTCACTCGTAGCCGATGTGGGATTTACGTTCTACGTTGTACTATAATATAAGTCAATGTATGAAAAACTTCCAAAAAAAAATTCAAACATTAGGCCTTAAGTAGGATTTTTTAGCTACATTTTCAATAATTACAATTTATAGCTATACTTTGGTTTGCTATGAATTTGTATTCGTGGTACTTTTTCGCTGATTTCAGAGAAAAAATATAAACTGATTCGTATGAAAATGAATACATATTAGGAGGAGAGAGATGTGCGAGCTGATCAAGAGAGGGAGGAGAGAAGATTGTATTTTGTATTTATTTTGCATTGTGTTATGTATTTATTTAATGTATAACCGTTTTGTATTTGATATTAATTGTATTTGAAATACAACTGTATTTATGATCTCTCCTCCCTCACTCGATCTCGCTTGTCTCTCTCTTCCCTCTCTTCATCTCAAATACAATTGATACAAGTACGTCTATTTAATATATCAGGTACCTTTTGTAGGTATTGAAGTGTTTTGAGCGAGTCAAGATACAAGTTGTCAAATTTCTTATAATTTTTCTAGTGTTCGGAGAATAAGTATTTATCTTTTTGCTAAAAATATAAGATTTCTTTGAAGGTTTGTGTAATCAATACAATGACTATAATATGCGTTTGGTCTTGATCAATTATTAACTTTAAATTATTGTGAAGTTTTGAGATTGGATAAGATTAGGACCACAATTGTAGTTTCATAAATTACATAGATTGTGGTATAGTGACCAAAAATATGATCCCTAAAAGTGTTGTATGGGCAGTTATCAAATCTCGTTGTTGTTGTTGACGGCAGAAACAATAAGGATGGGTTGCGATCAGATTTTTTTGATCTCTTAATACTTTTTGACCTTTCAAAAACTTGGTCAAACAGACTATAAGTCGTAAAGAGATCTAAATGAAGGAAGGAATTAACAAACTTATATGATTGTGTATATTTATGATGATATATTTCTGTTACACCCCAAATTC